CACACATTGCATTGAGCCATGATTTCATTCAAACTTCTCAATTTCTTAGGTGTGTGATCAACAGCTTGAGAGCTTTCAAGTCCTTCATCCTGCAGTATAGTACCTTCATCCATTTGAGTTGGTGTATCCAAGCTTTGACTTGGTTCATCTTGCAGTGTAGTACCTTCTTCCATTTGAGTTGGTGTATCCAAGCTTTGACTTGGTTCAGAGTTTTGAGTCTCAGCAGGCACAGAAACTGTCATTTCCCCTGCACTTGCACTTTCCCACTTCCATGAAGCATTCTCATCAAAAACCACATCTCTAGACAGAATAATCTTTCTAGAGTTTGGATCAAATAGCCTGTACCCTTTTTCACAGATTCCATACCCCACAAAGATGCACTTGTCACTATTTTCTTCAAGTTTATGCCTTAGTGTTGAAGGAATGGGCACATGACAAGGAGATCCAAACACTTTTAAATGTGCAATACCTAGTTTTTTGCCAGTATAAGCCTCAAATTGTGTCACATTCTTGAGAGATTTGGTAGGACTTCTATTTAGTAGATAGACTGCAGTATTCACAGCTTCTGCCCAAAACTCATAAGGAATACTCTTCACAATACTTGTTGAATTCACTTGACAAAAACTCTCCACCTTTGTCACTTCTCAAACCTTTCAGTTTATATCCACTTTGCAGCTCAGTCATGGCTTTAAATTTTTTAAAACATTCAAATGCACTTGACTTGTTTATGATGAAATACACCCATGACATCCTAGTACAATCATCTGTAAACAGCAGAAAATACTTGTTTTCCGAGATAGATTCAGTCTACATTGGTCCACAGATATCTGTGTGAACCAATTCCAAAGGACATGTAGCTCTCCAAGTGGACTCCAATTGGAAGGAATCTCTGTGTTGCTTTCCTAGCCTGTAGCCTTCACACACTACTGAAATCTACCCCAAATGAGGTAAGCCATGAACCATGTCTTGACTCTCAAGCATTTTGATGCTCCTTTCATATATGTGTCCCAATCTCTTATGCCATGTCTGCAAACAGTGTGTAACACTTGCCTTTAAAGCCAGATCACTTGTAGACATCATTGTAAGAGGAAAACATTTGTTATTTGTCATTTGAACTCTAACAATAAGGTTATCCAATGACCAAGCATCATAGATATTCACCACATTTCCTCTAAACACAAGATAATATCCATGCTCCATCATCTGTCCAATAATAAGTAGATTTTCTTCAATACCAGGTACAAGCATCACTTCTTGAATGTGCTTCCTCCCCAATTTGGTGTCTATCACTAGAGTCCCTTTTCCTGCAACTGGAACTATTTCTCCAGTTCCCATCTTTACTTTAGAGGTCAAGTTCCTTTGAATATTGACTAAAAGTCTCTCATCACCTGTCATGTGGTTACTACAACCACTGTCAATGTACCATGAATGATTCACCTTCACATCAGTTGCAGCATTGCAGGCATAAAACAAAGTACTAGTTTCTTCAACTTGATTTGCATAGTTCAACTTCTGTACATTTTTATTTCCATGGCAGTCTCTGATCATATGTCTAAATTTCCCACATCCGTGGCATTTGGGCTTCCTTTCAAACCAACACTTTCCATAGTGCAGTTTATCACAGTGTCTACAAGCTACTTTGTTTCCATCATTAGATTTCCAGTTTTTCTGAGATTTTTGGCCTCCAGAAGAGGCTCCATTCTTAGAAGTTTTCTCTTCAATATTCAAGCTAGTAAAGGCCTTTTCTGTAGAGTTCTCAATAAGCCGATCCTATCTGAGCTCAAAGCTCTTCAGAGAAGCAACCACCTCTTGAATTTCAAGAGTCTCAAGATCCTTAGAGTGTTCAATCACAAAGCATATAGGATCATATGATTTTGGCAAACTAAACAGTAATTTCTGCACAACTCTCTCTTTAGATAGTTCTTCACCATAACTCTTCATTTGATTCAATATATCAAACAATCTAGCAAGATATACAGATAGAGATTCACTATCTTTCATGCGAGTATATTCAAACTCTCTACGCAAACCTTGCAATTTTACATTTCGTACCTGTTTGTCTCCTCTAAATTCCAGCTTCGGAGTATCCCAAGCACCTTTTGAGGTCTCCTCGTTAACAATTCTGGGGAAGAGCTGATCTGAGACAGCACTTTGGATCAACCCAAGTGCGCAAGCATCCTTCATTAGAACCTCAGTCAACGTAGGCTTCTTAGCAGCCTTAGTCTCCTCTATCTCCTTCTTCTCCTTCTTTGGATCTGAAGCACCGAAACCATTTTCAACTAAATCCCACAATCCATGAGATTTCAGGATGGTTTTCATCCTAATGCTCCAGAACTCATAGTTTTCTCCATTGAAAACTGGTGTGTGAAACTCAGTAGTGCCCGATCCTGCCATATTAGACATTGGATTCAAGAACTCACAACTTCGTTCATCGAGTGAGCTCAAACCCAGCTCGAATTGATTTCGACTCCTTGTTCACAGATTCACGCCCAACTCAAGTAATCGAACCTGGCTATGAGGCCATGTTAGAATTCATAGTTTTTGTAATCAGTTTTGTATATTTTGGATGTTTTGGGAGGAAGAAATCAAAGAGAACGAGATTTTTGGAGCAACAATATTGCTGAAGGAGCTATGTTTTCATTTATATCAGATATAACCGTTAGAGGAGAGAGAGAAGAGAGATTCTTCTCTAACTGATTTACATAGGAAATAAATCCTAACCCTTGATCCTATCATCCTATGAGATGAATACACATGTCTTGATCTGACAATTACATCCTAAGCCACTTGGACTATGATCCAACGACTCTCAATACAACCAAAAAAATTAAAACATATAAACTAAAATTTAACAAAACTTTGACTTTTGACTCTAAGAACTTCAGCTGAAGGGTTACACATCAACAAACAGGCAGCAAAGGTCAACTCAACAATACAGTGGTATACAAATGTAGAAATATAGACAAAAAGGAAAGATTGAAGGCACCAAATCTTATCAGCAATGAAGCCAACTACGGAAACCAAGTTGATGTTCAATTCACAAACAATTTCAATGCATTTTCTGTAGCAGGCTGCATGCATACAAAGTCCTCCTTTTTTCAATCAGTGTTGCTTATGCACTTTCACTCTGTAAGTCATCCACGTTTACTAAAACATGAGGAAAGTAAAAAAAAATCATTAGAGATACACTCGGTAATGCAACTAACACAAATATATTACAAAGATTAAAAAAAATAAAAATAAATTGAAAGATGAGAGCGTGAGATATTTTCGTGAGTGCGAAAATCACCTCCCTCCGTCCTAAACGCAATCCGGGTACAATGCAAAATATGCTCTTAATTTTCAGGATCATAACCACCAAAGTTGTGCTCTTGGACAAAAAGATAAAAGGGTTCTAGATGTCGAAACCATGAATGGACATACTATATGATCGTTTTACGAATCAGGAATTGTTTTTCACAAATGCTTGGAGAAATAAATAATTATAGACATACCAACAAAGTCTGAGAAACCTTGCCATTGTTAAATCTTCCTCGAATAAAATCCTTCCCATATGGAATTGGAGGGAAATTGCTTTCAAATATAAGCATTTTCAAATCTCTCTCTAATTAATAGTAGCAATGATTATGCCTTCCATTGTTGACTGAGTAAAGGCATGTGAACGGGGAAGTCCATGAAAGTAGTCAACGAAAGTCCATCGTTCACACTTCACACGGTCAGTTTTCATTTTTTTTTTTGTTTGCTCTCAGGTTCCACACCACTTTTTTCACACCAGAAATCAAACAAGTTGGCATAAAATAAGAGTAACAGATCGTATTTACACGAGAAAATCAAAAAAGCTCACTTAAAAAAATAAATAATTAGTTGTCATCATATGATAATTCAGAGTTAGAGGCTGGACTGGGGAACATAACTAGAATTTAGTCCTTAGTTTCCTTCTGCAATCCACCCACCCCTTAAAATAAGATGACTGAAGCCTGCTGCTCTTTTGGCTGTTTGGCTACGCAGTTCCAAATCTTTTTGATTAAAAGAATACTAATCTTGAGTATTTATATTGCGCTCTATCAGCTCAGCCACCAAGCTAGTTGGTTCTGCAAACACTTGTAAGTACCTTTCAAGAGCTTCCATTACCAGATAACAGCGGGTTGGTTACTGATTTAGTCACTCCAATGGCTGATCCTGTGACCACCCAAACCTCCTCAGCTTTGCCTCCTCCTCCGACCCGTCCACTGGAATATGAGGTGTTCCTCAGTTTTCGAGGTTTTGACACTCGAAAAGGTTTTACTGACCATTTGTACAAGGCTTTGATTCGGAACGGAATCCACACTTTCAGGGACGATGAACAACTGAAGAGTGGAAAACCCATTTCAAAGGAACTCCTCAAAGCAATTGAAGAATCGAAAATTTCAGTCATCATTCTTTCAACAAACTATGCGACCTCCACATGGTGTCTGGATGAACTTGCGAAAATGGTTGAACTGGCAAACAATGAGTCCAGATTGATTTTGCCCGTGTTCTACAACGTGACGCCATCCGAAGTACGAGAGCAAACTGGAGATCATTTTAAAAAGGCATTTGCTCAACATGATAAAGATTTCGAAGGTGAGCCAGGAAAGGTGGCAAGGTGGAAGAACTCTCTCACTGCAATAGCCGAACTCGAAGCCGAAGGATTTGATCTGACAAATTTTAGGTAAGGCTGGTTCTTTTAATATGTATGATCTGACAGAGTTTAGGTGAGGCTGGAAAAACCTATCAAGTATCATGGTCTAAGCTTTTTTCCTAATAATATTATTATCGGTTTTACTTGTTTGAGCTAGGAAATAGCATGGAACAACAAAAACTTAAAAGTTCCTCAAAACGAAACAGTACCCAAACGAGCCTTAGCTAGCTTTCAATAGAAATTTAGTATTAAGTAGCAAGGTGTCAATGGAAGGCTTGAAGCTCAATTATATTGAAGAATTCAAGGAGAGATTCACTAATAAAGGACCCTATACACTACATTAGTAATCAGAGTTGTGTCTAGGGGGGGTGTTTGATCGTGAGATCAAACTAGCTAGATTGATCAAATATTGTATAAAGTCTACAAGAGTATCACTCAAAGAAAAACTCTATAATAGGCCATACAAATCAAAACCGAATACACCATTTTAGTAAAGTATAGGAGAAGCCCACATGACATTAGAAGGGTGCACGTTGAGAGGTCGGAAATCTAACTACAAGTATAGTCTGACTAGAAAACACGACAATTTTTACATTTTTTCGTCTTTAATTATGAGGTATACTGACCCAAATACTTAACAGAATGCTCTAACTTTTTGCAGATACGAGACAGATATGATTGAAAAGATAGTTGAACGTATTTTTGGTGTTTTGATTCAAACATTCTCAAATGATGATTTAAAGGACTTTGTTGGAATGGATCGTGTAAATGAAATTAAATCCAAAATGAGTTTGTGTATGGGTTCGGAAGAAGTCCGTGTAATAGGGATTTGTGGGATGCCAGGGATTGGTAAGAGTACTGTTGCCAAAGCTCTTTCTCAAAGAATTCGCAGTCAATTTGATGCTACCAGTTTCATTTCTAAGGTTGGAGAGATATCTAAAAAAAAAGGCTTATTTCATGTCAAAAAACAACTTTGTGATCACTTGTTGGATAAGAAAGTAACCACAAAGGATGTCGATGATGTGATATGTAAGAGATTGCGTGACAAACGGGTGCTTATAATTCTTGACAACGTGGATGAATTAGAACAAATAAAAGCTGTAGCTGGAACTGATGGTGCAGACTTATCCAATCGGTTTGGTAAGGGAAGTAGAATCATCGTAACCACAACAGATGAAAGGTTGTTGATATATTATAACCACCCAGAAATATACACAATTGAGAAACTTACTTCGGATCAAGCTCTTCTTCTCTTCTGTCGGAAAGCCCTCGAAACAGACCATCCCACTGATGCTTTTAAGAAGTTGTCTAACGAATTTGTAGATTACATTGATGGTCATCCATTGGCTCTTGAAGTTTTCGGTCGCTCCTTACGGGACAGAAAAGAAGACTATTGGTCCACTAAATTGAAGTCTTTAAAAGATAATAACTACTCTGGTGAGGAGAAAATTATTGGTGTTCTTAAAGCAAGTTTTGATGGATTAGAGAATCAAGAACAGAAGGACATGTTTTTGGACACTGCATGTTTCTTCAAAGGCGAGGATGTATGTCGTCTAGAAAAGATATTTGAAAGTTGTGGTTACTATCCAAGCATCAATATAGACATCCTCTGTGAGAAATATTTAGTAAGTATGGTAGGAGGAAAATTGTGGATGCATGATTTACTACAAAAAATGGGCAGAGATATTGTTCGTGGAGAATCCAAAAAGGAAGGAGAACGCAGCAGATTGTGGCATCATACAGTAGCCCTTCCTGTACTGAGGAAAAATAAGGTGAGAAGTTTAGAAGAATCATAGAGCATTCCCTAATAAATACATCACTAATATTTACTTAGATTAAAAAGTTGTTTATTAATAATTTCAAGATAACAAATCCACTTTATTTGAATATTGATTTTTTGATTTTTTGTTGCTAATAGTATAAATATTTTTCTACTGTGGCTATTAGGGGACAAAAACTGTTGAAGGTATTTTCCTAAGCTCGCCTCAGCCAGACAAAGTACACTTGAAGAAAGATCCATTCTCAAACATGGACAATCTAAGATTGTTGAAGATTTACAATGTGGAATTTTCTGGATGTCTTGAATATCTTTCAGATGAGTTAAGCTTATTGGAATGGCACAAATGTCCTTTCAAATCTCTGCCTTCAAGTTTCGAACCCGACAAACTTGTTGAACTGAACTTGTCTGAAAGCGAAATAGAGGAATTATGGGAGGAAATTGAGAGAGTAAGATTATTTATTCTGTCCGTTTCTTTTGTTGAATTCGTTTATCAAGTTAACTCAACCTTAGTCTATGGTATGAATTTGTTTACGAATTATATACTACTTTTGTTTTTATTATTTTATTTTTATGAATTTCTTTACAGCCCTTGGAAAAGCTGGCGGTATTAAACCTTAGTGATTGTCAAAAGTTGATCAAGACCCCTGACTTCGACAAAGTCCCAAACCTTGAGCAGCTAATCCTTAAAGGTTGTACAAGCTTGTCTGCGGTTCCCAACGATATCAACTTGAGATCTCTCACAAATTTCATTCTTTCGGGTTGTTCCAAACTCAAAAAACTTCCAGAGATTGGGGAGGACATGAAACAATTAAGGAAGCTTCATTTAGATGGGACAGCAATAGAAGAGCTACCAACATCAATCAAGCATTTGACTGGCCTTATTCTGCTCAATCTTAGAGACTGCAAGAACCTTTTGAGTCTGCCAGACGTCATTGGTACTAGTTTGACATCACTTCAAATACTCAACGTCTCAGGTTGTTCCAATCTTAATGAGTTACCAGAAAATTTGGGGAGTTTAGAATGTCTACAGGAGCTCTATGCAAGCAGGACAGCTATACAAGAGCTACCAACATCAATCAAGCATTTGACTGACCTTACTCTGCTCAATCTCAGAGAATGCAAGAACCTTTTGACTCTGCCAGATGTCATTTGTACTAATTTGACATCACTTCAAATTCTCAACCTCTCAGGATGTTCGAATCTTAATGAGCTACCAGAGAACTTGGGCAGTTTAGAATGTTTACAGGAGCTATATGCTAGTGGGACTGCTATAAGCCAAGTACCTGAAAGCATGTCTCAGCTTTCTCAGCTTGAAGAACTTGTTTTGGATGGTTGTAGCAAGCTTCAATCATTGCCAGCACTTCCATTTAGTATAAGAGCTATAAGTGTACATAATTGTCCTCTCCTGCAGGGATCACATTCAAATAAAATAACGGTGTGGCCTTCAGCTGCTGCCGGATTTAGTTTTCTAAATCGCCAAAGACAGCACGACATGGCTCAGGCGTTTTGGTTACCTGATAAACATCTATTGTGGCCATTCTATCAAACATTCTTTGAGGTCCTCTCTCTCTCTCTCTCTCTCTCTCTCTCGCTCTCTCTCTCTCAAATTAACTTTTCTTTTAATTTTCTTTCTTTCACTTCTATTTTATAGGGTGCCATTCGGCGTGATGAAAGGTTTGAATATGGTTATCGATCGAATGAAATTCCAGCATGGTTAAGCCGTCGGAGTACTGAATCAACCATAACAATCCCGCTGCCTCATGATGTAGATGGTAAGAGTAAGTGGATAAAACTTGCTCTGTGCTTTATTTGTGAAGCAGCCCAGAAGCATGATAGTTTGGAAGATGTACCAGAATTTGATGAGGAATTGGGAGTAAAATTCACTCGCATTCACCGTATTGAACTCTATACAACTGAAGATCCTCATGAACATCTCCTTGCGCTTGATTACCGTGATTGCAATTTCGCTGGACCATTTATACATTGGTGCTTTATAGCACAGAGTGACCTTGCAGAAAGTACGAATAAACGCTTGATCCAAGCTACAATTACACCTGATAGCCCAGGGACAAAGATTACAGGGTGCGGGGCGAGTCTCATATACTTGGAAGATGTGCCTAAATTTGTCCGGAAATTGAATAAACACTATAGTTATTGCTATCAAGGCTATCAGCCTGAACAAGAAGAAGATGGTATGAGAAGTATTCCGTCGACAAGCGGGGTTCAAACTGAACAAGAAGTACAGGAACAAGAAACTACTACTTCAACCCGGATTGTAGGTCAATTGAGAAGAAACGTGGAGTCATTGCTTGAAAAACTATTTGAGGTACTCTCTCTCTTTCTCTCTCTCAAACACACAAAAATAATGATGATTGAATTACTGATATCATGAGTTACCATATATATCTTTGTGTAGGGATTGCAGCAAGGCCTTCCGAAACTATATGATTATGGTTTTATTTTTTGTCTACGAGAAAGATTACTGTGGTTTAGTGAACAAAGCAGTACATCTGCATGCACAGTAAACTTACGTCTTCCTCCAAATCTGCACAACGATGAGAAATGGGCAGGACTTTCTCTCTACGTTGTCTACGCTCTGCCTCCAGGTCTTCCACGTTCCAGAAATTTATATGAGTGTTACTTGAATACACCTATTGAGGCTGTGGGCCATGAGCAATTGATGCATCGCTTAGGGTTAGTATCCCTCTGGGATGACACTGTAGGCTCACATCGACTCCTCATTATTCATATACCACGAGTACGTTTTCCGGAACGTCTGAATCGCTGTCATTTCGTTCAGGCTTTATTTGGATGTAGAACTCCAGGTGTGCAGGTTGAAATGTGTGGGATGCGTCTTGTATACAAGCAAGATTTGAAAGCGTTGATCCAAACTATCGCCCATTGCACCAATGATCGGCCTGCTTATTACGGAACTGGTGATTTTACAGAAACCAGGAAATATAAGGGAATTAGTTTGGGAGCTACAAGTTTGCTAACGAATCTGGTTGAAGCAGCCAAATCCAGCGAGCACAGCTCTGTCAGCTCAGTTTGTCCTCCTTTCATGCCTATAGATTTCCGTCCAGAACCTTATAATGAGTACTCCCAACATGAAAGAAAAACAACACCAATTCATCCACTACAGTACTTTGGCAATGCCTTTTATCCTACCAACAAAATGAGCTCAGATCAGAATCAGCTCCTAGTAAAGATTTAATTTGAGCCTTTGCTCTCTCTCTCTCTCTCTCTCTCTCTCTCTCTGTGGATCCTGATGTCTTTCTTATATTTTGCAGGACTTTGAACGTGACTTGAAATATAATTCTTGTTTCCCTCCAAATGAGATTGTAGAGTGGTTCGGGCATCAAAGCAGTGGCCCCTCTGTAAAAATCCCTCTACCATCAAATCTATGTGAAGACACCAACTGGATAGGACTGGCTTTATGTGCATACTTTTCAGTCCTTGACCACTCAACTACTGACCTTGACAATTTGAACCCTGAAATTTCTCACAACCTTACATGTCTATTGGAAACTGATGAAAGTTGTCTGGAATCCCTCCATGGCTATTGCACCAACAGTCAAGAATTCAAGTGGTTGTATCATATGGGAGGATTCATTTGGCTGTCCTATATACCACGATGCTGGTTTTCAGATCAGTTGAAAGAACAAGGCCACCTGGAGGCTTCAATTGGAAGCGATCGTGGAAGCTTGGGTGTGCATAGGTGTGGGCTTCGTCTTATATATCTGGAAGATGAGGAAGGGCTTAAGGAGACCATAATGCACTGCATGACCTCCTTGTCTGATATTAATGAAGGAAAAGATGAGCAATACAAGAACTGCGAGGCAGGATCATCTAGTATAACTGGCAGCAACATTGTAAACCCTGTAAATCCCCATCTTGAAAGATCAGAGGAGCCCAATGATAAGAAATGGGTACGATTCTCTCTCTCTCTCTCTCTCTCTCTCTCTCTCTCTCTTTTTATATATCTGACACCTTGTCTCTCCCTTACAGAACTTTGGTTGTCACACTATGTATAATTCTTGTTTCCCTTCAAGCATCACTCTGGAGTGGTTTGGGGATCAAAGCAGTGGCTCCTCGATAAGAGTCCCACTACCACCACATTTATATAGAGCCACTAATTGGATAGGATTGGCTTTATGCACATCCTTTTCAATCGTGGATAATCCAACTGCTGACCTAGACAATTTGAATCCAGAAATTTCTCACCACTTAATATGTCACTTGGAGTCGGACAGAGGTACAATAGAACCTCTCCATGACTATTGCACCACCAACGAAGAATTCCAATGGTTGCCTTTTGGAGGATTCATTTGGGTATCCTATATACCACGAGCGTGGTTTTCAGATCAGTTGAATGAATGTGATGTCCTGGAGGCTTCATTTGCAAGCGATCATGAAGCATTTACTGTGCACGAGTGTGGGCTACGTCTTGTATATCAGCATGACGAGGAAGAGATTAAGCAGACCATATTGCACTATATGACGTCGTTGTCAGATAAGAAAGGAAAAAATAAGCAATGCCCCACGGGTGACGCGGGATCATCTAGTAGGCCTAGCAGCTATATTGTGAAACCTCATCTCGAAAGATTAGGAAGGCCAAGTGATGAGAAATGGGTATGACTCGCTCCCTCTCTCTCTCTCTCTCTCTCTCTCTCTCTCTCCCCCCCCACACACACAGAAACATATATAACACTTTGTCTCTCTTTTACAGGACTTTGATCGTCACTCCATATATAACTCATGTTTCCCTTCAAGCATAACTCTAGAGTGGTTTGGTCATCAAAGCAATGACTCCTCGGCAACAATCTCGCTACCACATAATCTAAACTTAGACAGCAATTGGATAGGATTAGCTGTATGTGCATACTTTTCAGTCCTGGAGCATCCAACTGTCGACATTGACAATTTGGATATTCCAGCAATTTCTCACCACCTTATATGTAATTTGGAATCAGATAGAGACAGTCTAGAATCTTTGCATGACTACTGCACCACAAACGAAGAATTCCTATGGTTGCATCTCGGAGGATTCGTTTGGGTATCCTATATACCACGAGCATGGTTTTCGGATCAGCTGAATGAATGCGGTGTACTAGAGGCTTCAATTGCAAGCGATCATGAAGCCTTTAGTGTGCAAAAGTGTGGGCTCCGTCTTGTATATCAGCATGATGAAGAAGAGTTTAAGCAGACCATATCTCGTTCTCAGATAAGGAAGGGAAAAATAAGCAACACCCTCACCGCCCGTTGAACAGGATCAATGACACTAAGGGTAAACTAAGTACTGGAATAACTTCTCCCCATTAGCAGATTTTGCTACCTTGGGAACTCCTCCTCAATATATTGATGCAGTCAAGCATTCATCTAGTTCTCAGTCGAAGTCCATTACGAAAGTCATTATCTTTTACTGGTTGAATCAATTACAGAGTGGTTAGCTTCTTTTTTTTTTTTTCCTATTAAAAAAAAGTGGGTTGATTAAGTATTTGATCATTATATGCGTTTCCACAGCTAATTTACTACCTATTTTAATGGTGGATTACAACAGAGCACTTCTTATTACAGCTTAATTGGGTAATTTAGGTTAGTTACTAAATGCTGTTCTTCTTTTGAAGCAAAAACATGGCAAATAAATACGAATTCATACGAATGAAAATGCATATGACAATGGGAACCAAAAGAAATTCAATAAATAAAAACGATCAAATTTGACATACCCAATGTCGGCGAGCTGAAGATTGAGCACGCCCATGATTATTTCTTCAACCCTCCAAATTTGTCTGCTACAGAAGCTATGGCTTCCGTTGAAGAACTCTTATCAAGTATCAGGACAAACTGAGAAGGAGGGTCCTTCAATCCATTGGCAAAGATGACTGCAAGTGACATCTGGATTTTATACATTCAAATTCTCTCTTACAGCTGAGTTAACTGGAGATCGGGCAACCCGGGAAACATTGTTCCTCTGAATTCTTCTTTTCTGTTTGGAAAAAAAGTGAAGTAATGAACTTGTCAAACTAGACCTGGCAACTTGTTTTAACTTGTCAAATTGGACTAATTAGTCAAATTTTAGTGTTCAGTGTTCAGGTTTTATTTTCATTCTTTTTTTTTCTTTTCAAAAACTGAAAACATATTTGATAATAGATTTCGTTTTCAGTTTTTAAAAAAATTATCAGTTTTCAAAATCACCCTTATTTTTTAAAACAATATTTTCAATAATTTTTTTATTTTTTATTTTTTGTCATTCACCAAATTTACATCACCATACATGCATTGCACTGCAGTTAATAAAACTTGATATTTGGAACCTCTCGACTTGGCTCTAGCGCTGGACTCTTGTGTTCAGCCGCAGACCCAATTCAAGCCTCAGACCTCTAAATCCAAAATTCTCCACAAATTCATCATAACTCCAAAAAAAATTGATCGAAAATGCTATAAACTCTTTGTAACATGCACTTTCATTCTATGATCTCAAATTTCCCCAGTGACATGAGCTATCCGAAAAGTTGAAATGATCTAAAGAGAATCACTCTTGAAAATAACTTTTCTATAATCCCTTTCTATTGCCATAATTTCCCCAAATGGCTATTAACTAACATGACTCTCCTAAGAACACTGTGGGAACCGAATAAATCAGACCCTAAGTCAAATAATTCCTTCTATTTGGGGATTATTTGACATAATTGGGAATTACTCAACCTAATTGGGAGTTACTCAATTTAATTGAGAATTACCTAATTAAATTGAGAATTGATTTGATTCCTACCCCAATTCCCAATTAAATGAGGAGTTATCTAATTAAATTAGGTATTGATTTGATACCTACTACAATTAGGGATTTGATTTACTCTAATAAATCAAATCCCTAATTAATCAAATCAATTCCAAATCGAGGAGGAATAATTCCTTTCCATTTACGGAATTATTCCTCTGAAACCCTAGCCTCCAAGACCACTATAAAAAGATGGTCACACACAATGGTGAATGTACGTCTAAATTCCTACTGAAACTCTGCATAAATTATTTCTCACAAACCCTAGCCATCATATTCTTTCTCTCTCTAACACAAGGCTCCGGCCACCAAACATGGTTCCGGCCACCCCGGTTTTTCTTGAAATATCCTACCTAACTTTGGCATCGGAGGGCCTTTGGCCAACACCCTCCAGGTGTGGTCCTTTTACCCCGATCTGTTTTGCAGGGAGAAAGAGAAGTGGAGAAGACGAAGGAATCTTAGACAAATATTCTAGTGAGACGAAATTTGCTCCCACAAACACCTATCAAACTCAACCAATTCTGGAATTATGAGTGAAAAACGCAGACAACTCATATAGTTTTTGGATTTTATTGACCAAAAAGACCAAGAATAAAAATCTAAAACGCTGATAAAAGGAAGAATAAACGTCGCTAATCTTCCTCCGAGACATGACATAGAAAGCGTCATTTGGTCACTCCATTGCCCCAACACACTAATCAACAGTAGATTTACCATGACAACATCCCCTTACGCGCACACATCTAAAGTCAGCCCAGATTCATAGCATGAACAATAGATTTGTCAAGAAAGACCGTATCAACATAGATTTGCCAAAAATAAAAGAAAATGAGAATTGGGGGAAAACCAATTAAATCTTAAGCGTTCTCTCTCTTTCTCTCTCATTGTCGGCTATGGTTTTTCGTATCAAAAAGAAATACAACTTTTGAATGTGTTGGGATATAGAGAAACTGTAAACAGATGTCATATTCCTCCAACGAAATCCTTCCCATATGGAATTGGTGGGAAATTGCTTTCATATGTACGCATTTTCAGGTCTCTCTATAATAAATATATGGTATGTGGACCTGCCTCTTGAGAAATGCACGAGCCCATCGTTCACACTATAATTTTTTATCTTTCTTTGGTCTCAGGTTCCACGCTATCTTTTTACACCAGAAAATCAAACAAGTTGGCATAAAATAAGAGTGAGAGATCCTTGGTTTCCTTCTGCAATCTACCTACCCTTTAAAATAAGATGACTGAAGCCTCCTGCTTTTTTGGCTGTTTGCCTATAATATTCCCAATCTTTTGATTAAAGGGAAGCTAATCTCTGATTATTTAGTGTCTTGTTCGTTCAAGCCTTATATTGCACTCAGCTACCAAGCTAGTTTTGGTTCTGCAAATAATTTTAAGTAGCCAAAGCTTTCATTGCAAGGTAGCAGGTTTGGTTACTGATTTAGTTTTTCTCCAATGGCCGATCCCATGACTACCCAAACCTCCTTAGCTTTGCCTCCTTTCTCGACCCTTTCACCGAAATATGAGGTGTTCCTCAGTTTTAGAGGCTTCGACACTGGAAAAGGTTTTACTGACAATTTGTACAAGGTCTTGATTCACTACGGAATCCACACTTTCATGGATGCTGAACAACTCGAAAGTGGAGAACCCGTTTCAACGGAACTCTTCAAAGCAGCTGAAGAATCGCAAATATCAGTCGTCATTCTTTCAACAAACTATGCAACCTCCGCATGGTGTCTTAATGAACTTGTCACTATGGTTGAACTTGCGGAAAACAACGAGTCCAGACTGATTTTGCCTGTGTTCTATGGCGTGACGCCATCCGAAGCACGAAAACAGATTGGAGTTCATTTTGAAGAGGAGTTTGCTCAACATAAAAAAGATATCGAAGGAGAGCCAGGAAAGGTGGCAAGGTGGAAGAAATCTCTCACTGAAATCGCCAACCTCTCAGGATATGATATAAGAAATTATAGGTAAGGCTGCCGCTTTTTATTATGTATTTTCTTTTTTGGGGTAAACATTTCAGTTATATCTTTTTCATAGTAGATGTTGGTCAAAACTAGCTCCTTTGATCAAATACGGATCCTCAGATCACTTTCCACGGTCATATTCCAAGAAAGTTAAAAAAAACAAAAGCAACAGAAGAAACAGATAGATCAAAAACATGTTGTTTTGTATTTGGATACATGCTAAGCGTTTGTAGAATTATGAAATGGCGAAGAACTACTACATCCGTAGAAACTGAACTTATAGATGTCTATACAAACCTGCCAACCTTTAAACCAAGTAGTAAATCGTAAACACCTTTTTCTTAAAGTACAGGTGAAGTCCGCATCACATTAGAAGGGTTCATGTTGGGAGGCCGGAAAACTACAAAACATGATAGGTTTTACATGTTTTCGTCTTTAGTTATTACTTGTATTGACCAAACACTTTACATAAAGCTGTAACCTTTTTGCAGAAACGAGACAACAGTGATTGAAAAGATAGTTGAACGTATTTTTGGTGTTTTGATTAACACATTCTCAAATGATTTAAAGGACTTTGTTGGTATGGATCGTGTAAATGAAATTAAATCCAAAATGAGTTTGTGTATGGGTTCGGAAGAAGTTCGTGTAATAGGGATTTGTGGGATGCCCGGGATTGGTAAGAGTACTGTTGCAAAAGCTCTTTCTCAAAGAATTCGCCGTCAATTTGATGCTATCAGTTTCATTTCTAAGGTTGGAGAGATATCTAAAAAAGAAGGCTTATTTCATATCAAAAAACAACTTTGTGATCACTTGTTGGATAAGAAAGTAACCACAAAGGATGTCGATGATGTGATATGTAAGAGATTGCGTGACAAACGGGTGCTTATAATTCTTGACAACGTGGATGAATTAGAACAAATAAAAGCTGTAGGTGGAAGTGACGGTGCAGGCTTATCCAATCGGTTTGGTAAGGGAAGTAGAATCATCGTAACCACAACAGATGAAAGGTTGTTGATATATTATAACCACCCAGAAATATACACAATTGAGAAACTTACTCCGGATCAAGCTCTTCTTCTCTTCTGTCGGAAAGCCCTCAAAACAGACCATCCCAAGGATGCTTTTAAGAAGTTGTCTAACGAATTTGTAGATTACATCGATGGTCATCCATTGGCTCTTGAAGTTTTCGGTCGCTCCTTACGGGACAGAAAAGAAGATTATTGGTCTACTAAATTGAAGTCTTTAAAAGATAATAACTACTCTGGTGAGGAGAAAATTATTGGTGTTCTTAAAGCAAGTTTTGATGGATTAGAGAATCAAGAACAGAAGGACATGTTTTTGGACACTGCATGTTTCTTCAAAGGCGAGGATGTATGTCGTCTAGAAAAGATATTTGAAAGTTGTGGTTACTATCCAAGCATCAATATAGACATCCTCTGTGAGAAATATTTAGTAAGTATGGTAGGAGGAAAATTGTGGATGCATGATTTACTACAAAAAATGGGCAGAGATATTGTTCGTGGAGAATCCAGAAAGGAAGGAGAACGCAGCAGATTGTGGCATCATACAGTTGCCCTTCCTGTACTGAAGAAAAATAAGGTGAGAAGTTTAGAAGAATCATAGAGCACTCCCAAATAAATACATCACTAATATTTACTTAGATTAATAATTTCAAGATAACGTATCCACTTTATTTGAATATTGATTTTTTGATTTTTTGTTGCTAATAGTATAAATATTTTTCTACTGTGGCTATTAGGGGACAAAAACTGTTGAAGGTATTTTCCTAAGCTCGCCTCAGCCAGACAAAGTACACTTGAAGAAAGATCCATTCTCAAACATGGACAATCTAAGATTGTTGAAGATTTACAATGTGGAATTTTCTGGATGTCTTGAATATCTTTCAGATGAGTTAAGCTTATTGGAATGGCACAAATGTCCTTTAAAATCTCTGCCTTCAAGTTTCGAACCCGACAAACTTGTTGAACTGAACTTGTCCGAAAGCGAAATAGAGGAATTATGGGAGGAAATTGAGAGAGTAAGATTATTTATTCTGTCCATTTCTTATGTTGAATTTGGTTATCAAGTTTAACTCAACCTTAGTCTATAGTATGAATTTGTTTATGAATTATGTACTACTTTTGTTTTTATTTTTTTATTTTTATGAATTTCTTTACAGCCCTTGGAAAAGCTGGCGGTATTAAACCTTAGTGATTGTCAAAAGTTGATCAAGACCCCTGACTTCGACAAAGTCCCAAACCTTGAGCAGCTAATCCTTAAAGGTTGTACAAGCTTATCTGCGGTTCCCAACGATATCAACTTGAGATCTCTCACAAATTTCATTCTTTCGGGATGTTCCAAACTCAAAAAGCTTCCAGAGATTGGGGAGGACATGAAACAATTAAGGAAGCTTCATTTAGATGGGACAGCAATAGAAGAGCTACCAACATCAATCAAGCATTTGACTGGCCTTATTCTGCTCAATCTTAGAGACTGCAAGAACCTTTTGAGTCTGCCAGACGTCATTGGTACTAGTTTGACATCACTTCAAATACTCAACGTCTCAGGTTGTTCCAATCTTAATGAGTTACCAGAAAATTTGGGGAGTTTAGAATGTCTACAGGAGCTCTATGCAAGCAGGACAGCTATACAAGAGCTACCAACATCAATCAAGCATTTGACTGACCTTACTCTGCTCAATCTCAGAGAATGCAAGAACCTTTTGACTCTGCCAGATGTCATTTGTACTAATTTGACATCACTTCAAATTCTCAACCTCTCAGGATGTTCGAATCTTAATGAGTTACCAGAGAACTTGGGCAGTTTAGAATGTTTACAGGAGCTTTATGCTAGCGGGACTGCTATAAGCCAAGTACCTGAAAGCATCTCTCAGCTGTCTCAGCTTGAAGAACTTGTTTTGGATGGTTGTAGCATGCTTCAATCATTGCCACGACTTCCATTTAGTATAAGAGCTGTAAGTGTACATAATTGTCCTCTCCTGCAGGGAGAACATTCAAGTAAAATAACGGTGTGGCCTTCAGCTGCTGCCGGATTTAGTTTTCTAAATCGCCAAAGACACGATGACATAGCTCAGGCGTTTTGGTTACCTGATAAACATCTATTGTGGCCATTCTATCAAACATTCTTTGAGGTCCTCTCTCTCTCTCTCTCTCTCTCTCCCCCTCTCTCTCTCCCTCCTCTCCCCCCTTCTCCCCTCTTCTCTTCTCTTTACTTCTATTTTATAGGGTGCCATTCGGCGTGATGAAAGGTTTGAATATGGTTATCGATCGAATGAAATTCCAGCATGGTTGAGCCGTCGGAGTACTGAATCCACCATAACAATCCCGCTGCCTCATGATGTAGATGGTAAGAGCAAATGGATAAAACTTGCTCTGTGCTTTATTTGTGAAGCAGCCCAGAAGCGTGATAGTTTGGAAGATGTACCAGAATTTGATGAGGAATTGGGATTAAAATTCACTCGCAATCACCGTATTGAACTCTGTACAACTGAAGATCCTCATGAACGTCTCCTTGCGCTTGATTACCGTGATTGCAATTTCGCTGGACCATTTATACATTGGTGTTTTATACCACAGAGTGACCTTGCAGAAAGTTCGAATAAACGCTTGATCCAAGCTACAATTACACCTGATAGCACAGGGACAAGGGTTACAGGGTGCGGGGTGAGTCTCATATACTTGGAAGATGTGCCCAAATTCGTCCGGAAATTGAATAAACACTATAGTTATTGCTATCACGGCTATCAGCCTGAACAAGAAGAAGATGGTATGAGAAGTATTCCGTCGCTAAGTGGGGTTCAAACTGAACAAGAAGAAGTACAGGAACAAGAAACTACTACTTCAACCCGGATTGTGGGTCAATTGAGAAGAAACGTGGAGTCATTGCTTGAAAAACTATTCGAGGTTCTCTCTCTCTCTCTCTCTCTCTCTCTCTCTCTCAAACACACAAAAACAATGATGACTGAATTACTGATATATATCATGACTTTCCATACATATCTTTGTCTAGGGATTACAGCGGGGCCTTCCGAATCTCTATGATTATGGTTTTATTTTTTGTCTACGAGAAAGATTACCGTGGTTTAGTGAACAAAGCAGTACGTCTGCATGCACAGTAAACTTACGTCTTCCTCCAAATCTGCACAACAATGAGAAATGGGCAGGACTTTCTCTCTACGTTGTATGTGTTCTGCCTCCAGGTCTTCCGCTTTTTCGCACTTTCTATGAGTGTCACTTGTATACACCTATTGAGGCTGTGGGCCATGAGCAACTGATGCATCGCCTAATGTTATCTTCCGTCTGGGATGACAATGTGGGGTCACATCGACTCCTCATTATTCATATACCACGAGTACGCTTTCCGGAACGACTTAATCGCTGTCATTTCATTCAGGCTTTATTTGGATGTAGAACTCCAGGTGTGGAGGTTGAAATGTGTGGGATGCGTCTAGTATACAAACAAGATTTTAAAGGGTTGATCCAAACAATCGTCCATTGCACCAATGATCGGCCTGCTTACTACGGAACTGGTGATTTTACAGATACCAAGAAATATAAGGGAATTAGTTTGGGAGCTACAAGTTTGCTAACGAATCTGGTTGAAGCAGCCAAAACCAGCGAGCACAGCTCTGTCAGCGAAGTTTGTCCTCCTTTCATGCCTTTCGATTTCCGTCCAGAAACTTATTCTGCTGAGGACTCTCAACATGAAAGAAAAACAATACCATTTCCTCCATTACAGGACTTTCGCCGTTCCTTTGGTCCTACCAACAACATGAGCTCAGATCAGAATCAGCTCCTGGTAAAGAAACCTTTGCTCTCTCTCTCTCTCTCTCTCTCTCTCTCTCTCTCTCTCTCTCTCTCTGTGTATCCTGACATCTCTCTCATATTTTGCAGGTCTTTGAACGTGACTTAAAATATAATTCTTGTTACCTTCCAAATCAGATTGTAGAGTGGTTCGGGCATCAAAGCAGCGGCCCCTCTGTAAAAATCCCTCTACCACCAAATCTATATGAAGACACAAACTGGATAGGACTAGCTTTATGTGCATACTTTTCAGTCCTCGACCGCTCAACTACCGACCTTGACAATTTGAATCCAGAAATTTCTCACCACCTAATATGTCACTTGGAGTCGGACAGAGGTACAATAGAACCTATCCATGACTATTGCACCACCAACGAAGAATTCCAATGGTTGCCTTTTGGAGGATTCGTTTGGGTATCCTATATACCACGAGCGTGGTTTTCAGATCAGTTGAATGAATGTGATGTCCTGGAGGCTTCATTTGCTAGCGATCACGAAGCATTTACTGTGCACGAGTGTGGGCTACGTCTTGTATATCAGCATGAAGAGGAAGAGATTAAGCAGACCATATTGCACTATATGACGTGGTTGTCAGATAAGAAAGGAAAAAATTGATCGAAAATGCTATAAACTCTTTGTAACACGCACTTTCATTTTATGATCTCAAATTTCCCTAGTGACATGAGCTAGCCGAAAAGTTGAAACGATCTAAAGAGAATCACTCTTGAAAATAACTTTTCTATCATTCCTTTCTATTGCCATATAATTTCCCCAAATGGCTGTTAATTGACATGACTCTCCTAAGAACACGCATCAAACTCAACCAATTTTGTAATTACGAGTGAAAAATGCATACAACTCATAGAGTTTTTGGACTTTATTGACCAAAAAAATACCAAGAATAAAAATCTGAAACGCTTATAAAAGGAAGAATAAACGTCGCTAATCTTCCTCCGAGACATGACATAGAGAGCACCCAACACACCAATCAACAGTATCTCTACCATGACAACATCACCCTACGCGCACACATCCAAAGTCAGCCCAGATTCGTGGCATGAACAATAGATCTGTCAAGAAAGACCATATCGACATAGATCCGCCAAAAATCGAAGAAAGTGAGAATTGGGGGAAAACCCCTTAAATCTTAAGTGTTCTCTCTCTCTCTCTCTCTCTCGGCTATGGTTTTTTCGTTTTAAAAAATACAGCTTTTGAATCTACAACACCATAATTTTGGTGGGCCTGCCTCTTTCACACTATAATTTTTTATCTTTCTTTGGTCTCAGGTTCCACGCTATCTTTTTACACCAGAAAATCAAACAAGTTGGCATAAAATAAGAGTGAGAGATCCTTGGTTTCCTTCTGCAATCTACCTACCCTTTAAAATAAGATGACTGAAGCCTCCTGCTTTTTTGGCTGTTTGCCTATAATATTCCCAATCTTTTGATTAAAAGGAAGCTAATCTTGACTTAGACTAATTAATCTCTGATTATTTAGTGTCTTGTTCGTTCAAGCCTTATATTGCACTCAGCTACCAAGCTAGTTTTGGTTCTGCAAATAATTTTAAGTAGCCAAAGCTTTCATTGCAAGGTAGCAGGTTTGGTTACTGATTTAGTTTTTCTCCAATGGCCGATCCCATGACCACCCAAACCTCCTTAGCTTTGCCTCCTTTCTCGACCCCTCCACCGAAATGTGAGGTGTTCCTCAGTTTTAGAGGTTTCGACACTAGAAAAGGTTTTACTGACAATTTGTACAAGGCCTTGATTCATTACGGAATCCACACTTTCATGGATGCTGAACAACTCGAAAGTGGAGAACCCGTTTCAACGGAACTCTTCAAAGCAACTGAAGAATCGCAAATATCAGTCATCATTCTTTCAACAAACTATGCAACCTCCACATGGTGTCTGAATGAACTTGTCACTATGGTTGAACTGGCGGAAAACGACGAGTCCAGATTGATTTTGCCTGTGTTCTATGGCGTGACGCCATCCGAAGCACGAAAACAGATTGGAGTTCATTTTGAAGAGGGGTTTGCTCAACATAAAAAAGATTTTGAAGGAGAGCCAGAAGAGGTGGCAAGGTGGAAGAAATCTCTCACTGCAATCGCCAACCTCTCAGGATATGATATAAGAAATTACAGGTAAGGTTGCTGCTTTTTATTATGTATTTTCTTTTTTGGGGTAAACATTTCAGTTATATCTTTTTCATAGTAGATGTTGGTCAAACTAGCTCCTTTGATCAAATACGGATCCTCGGATCACTTAAAAGTTATAAAACAAAAGCAACAGAAGAAACAGATAGATAAAAAACATAACATAGGGTTCATGTTGAGAGGACGGAAAACTAGAAAACATAATAGGTTTTACATGTTTTCGTCTTTAGTTATTACTTGTAATGACCAAACACTTGACATAAAGCTGTAACCTTTTTGCAGAAACGATACAATAGTGATTGAAAAGATAGTTGAACGTATTTTTGGTGTTTTGATTAACACATTCTCAAATGATATAAAGGACTTTGTTGGTATGGATCGTGTAAACCAAATTAAATCCAACATGAGTTTAAGTATACGGTCTGAGGAAGTTCGTGTAATAGGGATTTGTGGGATGCCAGGGATTGGTAAGAGCACCATGGCAAAAGCTCTTTCTCAAAGAATTCGCAATCAATTCGACGCTTTCAGTTTAATTTCTAAGGTTGGAGAGATCTCTAGAAAAGAAAGTTTATTTCGTATCAAAAAACAACTTTGTGATCACTTGTTGAATCAGCAAGTAACTACAAAGAATGTCGATGATGTGATATGTAAGAGATTGTGCAACAAACGGGTGCTTATAATTCTGGACAACGTGGATGAATTAGAACAAATAGAAGCTGTAGCTGGAAATGATGGTGCAGAATTATCTAGTCGGTTTGGTAAGGGTAGTAGAATCATCATAACCACAGCATATGAAAGGTTGTTGATAAATTATAATCCAAAAATATACACAATTGAGAAACTTACTCAAGATGAATCTCTGCTTCTCTTCTGCCGGAAAGCATTCAAAAAAGACCATCCTATGGATGGTTATGAGAAGTTGTGTTACGAATTTCTGGATTACGTTGATGGTCTTCCTCTGGCTCTTGAAGTTTTCGGTAACTCCTTAATGAACAGAAGTGTAGAAGATTGGTCTAGTACATTGGCTTCTTTAAAAGATGATAACTACTCTGGTAAGAACAAAATTGTTAATTATCTTAAAGCAAGTTTTGATGGATTAGAGAATCAAGAACAGCGGGAAATATTTTTGGACATTGCGTGTTTCTTCAAAGGCGAGGATGCATGCCGTGTAGAAAAGATATTTGAAAGTTGTGGCTACTATCCAGGCATCAATATAAACATCCTTCGTGAAAAATATTTAGTGAGTATCGTTGGAGGAAAATTGTGGATGCACAATTTACTACAACAAATGGGCAGAGAAGTTGTTCGTGGAGAATCCAAAAAGGAAGGAGAACGCAGCAGATTGTGGCTTCATACAGATGCCATTCATGTACTGAAGGGAAATAAGGTGAGAAGTTTAGTAGAATCATACACTACTCTCTAATATTTAATGAAATTGAGAAACCAGTTTGCTTTCCAATGCCTATGTTTCAATTTACATTTTTCCACTATGGCTATTAGGGGACAGATGCTGTTCAAGGTATTTTCCTAAGCTTGCCTCATCCAGACAAAGTATACTTGAAGAAAGACCCATTCTCAAACATGGACAATCTAAGATTGTTGAAGATTTACAATGTGGAATTTTCTGGATGCCTTGAATATCTTTCAGATGAGTTGAGCTTCTTGGAATGGCACAAATATCCTTTAAAATCTCTGCCTTCAAATTTTGAACCCGATAAACTTGTTGAACTGAACTTGTCTGAAAGCGAAATAGAGCAATTATGGGAGGAAATTGAGAGGGTAAGATTACTTACTCTGTTCATTTCATAAGTTGAATTTGTTTATCAAGTTAAGTCTTTCAGAGAAAGCTTTTTATGTTAAATTCTCTGCAGCCTTTGGAAAAGTTGTTGATACTCAACCTAAGTAATTGTCAAAAGTTGATCAAGACCCCTGACTTCGACAAAGTCCTGAACCTTGAGCAGCTAATCCTTAAAGGTTGTACAAGCTTGTCTGAGGTTCCTGACATTATCAACTTAAGATCTCTCACAAATTTCATTCTTTCGGGATGTTCCAAACTTGAAAAGCTTCCAGAGATTGGTGAAGACATGAAACACTTAAGGAAACTTCATTTAGATGGGACAGCAATAGAAGAGCTACCAACATCAATCAAGCATTTGAGTGGCCTTACTCTGCTCAATCTCAGAGACTGCAAGAATCTTCTGAGCCTGCCAGACGTCCTTTGTGCTACTTTGACATCACTTCAAGTTCTCAACCTGTCAGGGTGTTTGAATATCAACAAGCTGCCAGAGAACTTAGGGAGTTTAGAATGTTTACAGGAGCTTGATGCAAGCGGGACAGCTATACAAGAGCTACCAGCATCAATCAAGCATTTAACCGGCCTTACCCTCTCTAAGCTGAAAGACTGCAAGAACCTTTTGTGTCTTCCAGACGTCATTTGCACTGCTTTGACATCACTTCAAATTCTCAACGTCTCAGGGTGTTCAAATCTTAACGAGTTACCCAAGAACCTGGGGAGTTTAGAATGTTTACAGGTGCTTGATGCCAGTGGCACTGCTATAAGCCTTGTACCTGAAAGCATCTCTCAACTTTGTCAGCTTGAAGAACTTGCATTGAATGATTGTAGCAAGCTTCAATCATTGCCACAGCTTCCATTTAGTATAAGAGCCGTAAGTGTACATAATTGTCCTCTGCTGCCCGAAGCACATTCAAATAAAACAACGGTGTGGCCTTCAGCTGCTGCCGGATTTGGTTTTCTAAATCCCCAAAGAAATGAAGACAAAGCTCAGGCGTTTTTGTTACCTGATAAACATCTTTTGAGACCATTCTATCAAACATTCTTTGAGGTCCTCTCTCTCTCTCTCTCTCTCTCTCTCTCTCTCTCTCTCTCTCTCTCCTGAACATTTTATTATTATCTTTCTTTCGTTTCTATTTTATAGGGTGCCATTCAGCGCGGTGAAAGGTTTGAATATGGTTATCGATCAAATGAAATCCCAGCATGGTTGAGCCGTCAGAGTACTGAATCCACAGTAACAATCCCTCTACCTCTTGATTTAGACGGTAAGAGTAAATGGATCAAACTTGCTCTGTGCTTTGTTTGTGAAGCAGCTCAGAAGCATGATAGTTTGGAAGATGTACCAGAATTTGATGAGGAACTGGGAGCAAACTTCACTCGCAATCACCGTATTGAACTCTATACAACTGAAGATCATCATGAATGTCCCCAAGTAATTATTTACCGCAACTGCAATTTAGCTGGACCATTTATGCATTGGTGCTTTATACCACGAATTGACCTTACGGAAAATTCGAATAGACGCTTGATCCGAGCTTCAATTACACCTGACAGCCCAGGAACAAAAGTGACAGGGTGTGGGGTGAGCCTAATATACTTGGAAGATGTCCCCAAATTTGTCCAGAAATTGAATAAACACTATCTTGGCTATCAGCATGAACAAGAAGAAGATGGTATGAGAAGTATTCAGTCGACAAGCGGGGTTCAAACTCAACAAGAAGTACAAGAACAAGAAACTACTACTTCAACCAGGATTGTAGGTCAATTGAGAAGAAACGTGGTGTCATTGCTTGAAAAACTATTTGAGGTACTCTCTCTCTCTCTCTCTCTCTCTCAAACACACAAAAAAATGATGACTGAATTATTGATATCATGATTACCATACATATCGACTGAATTACTGATATCATGAGTATGTTTGTCTCTAGGGATTACAGCAGGGCCTTCCGCATCTCTATGATTATGGTTTTATTTTTCCTCGACGTGAAAGATTACAGTGGTTTAGTGAACAAAGCAGCACGTCTGCATGCACAGTAAACTTAGCTCTTCCTCAAAATCTGCATAACGATGAGAAATGGGCAGGACTTTCTCTATATGTTGTCTGCAGTCTGCCCCCAGGTGCTTCACTTACTACTCGCACTTTCTACGAGTGTCATTTGTATACCCCTATTGAAGCTGTGGGCCATAACCAACTGATGCATCGCCTAATCGTATCTTCTCCCTTGGATGACAATGAGGGGTCACATCGGCTCCTCATTGTTCATATCCCACGCGTACGCTTTCCAGAACATTTGAACCGGTGCCATTTCATTCAGGCTTTATTTGGATGTAGAACACCAGGTGTGGAGGTTGAACTATGCGGGATGCGTCTCGTGTACAAGGAAGATTTGAAAGGGTTGATCGAAACAATTACCCGTTGCATCAATGATCGGCCTGCTTACTACGGAACTGGTGATTTTACCGATACCAAGAAATATAAGGGAATTAGTTTGGGAGCTACAAGTTTGCTAACGAATCTGCTAGAAGCAGCCAAATCCAGCGAGCACAGCTCTGTAACCGAAGTTTGTCCTCCTTTCATGCCCCGACCAGAATAGAATCTGCTCCTGGTGAAAGTTTAATTCGAGTTTATAGGAGAAGAACTGTATATGTTATCAAATATCAGATTCTACTGTTTTAAATACTCTCTGTCAAAAATCATATTTCTGCTATATATATTTCAGTTTTGTGATCCTTCCTCCAACAAATTTGGTATAGGAGCAAAACCGATCCTTCTGCTGTGTTAACAATGGCATCAAGTTCAAATTCCTCAACCATTGGCAATGTCCTGAATTTAGTGCCTATTTTTTCACGGAGAGAATTATCATCATTGGAGCCTACAAATGAAGACTTTGTTCATTTCGCAGGACCTTTCGGGATCTTATCCAAGATGGTTATGAGGAACCAAACACTTCATCTGCAGGAAAACAGACACCAGAAAAGCAACAGGCTTACAAGGAAAATAGGAAAAGAGATGCCAAGGCTATGGTCCTAATTCAACAAGGAGTAAAAGCAAATATCTCTTTCCAAGATTTCTTTCAGCAACAACATCAAAGGGCACTTGGGATATTCTCAAAATTGAGTTCCAAAGTTCACAAAAAAGTGATCTCCATCAAATTCCAATCCTTGTGGCGGGAATTTGATAATTTACGTATGAAGGACAACGAATCCATTCAAGCATTCTTCACAAAAAAATTTAGTTGTTAGTTTAAGGGATAAGAGATTTAGAGAATGGTTGGTAGTGTTTGGGACAATAGCTTAACTTGGGAAGGAAAACTTTTGAAAGAGTAACAAAGTAGTTTTATTTTATTGATTGAAATAGGAAAGGTACAAGGTTTTAATACTTGAGTTGGCTGATGGCTAGAGTTGGACAGCTGTAGTTTTTTAGCTTGATTAAATAGAGAGGCTATAGGCTTATTTATAGGAATACTTAGTCCAACTTTGCTTTGGACAAGTCGGCTGCACAGTAACCGACAACCGACTTTTCCAAAGTCATTTTCAGCCACAAATTATCTCTATTTATAATACATTATATAATTAGTAGGATGTTTCTAGTGACTTTAACTTGTCAACTTCTCTTAATTTTTCTAGATTATTCTATATTATTTAAGACACAAGTGTGCATTAATTTTAAAACTAGTATTGTGAACCAAATCGAAAATTATGGTGATACAATTCCAAACAAGAAAATCGTTGCGAAAACTTTACGAAGCCTAGTTGTGCCACCAAAATACAATCATGTCAATGCCGCAATAGCATAATCGAAAGATTTTATTTACACTTTCTTTACATGAACTAATTGGTTCAGTGGAAGCACATGAAAAAGATGAACAGACAAATCAGTGGAGCAAGCTTTTCAATCCAAATTGAATTTCAAGGACAAAGTAAGACAAACACAAAGGAGTAGAATCCAATACAATGGATCGACCCTTTCATTGCTTTAACCACAATGAAAATGAGAACCAACTAATTCGTATAGTTTAATGGCATTCTCTTATTCATATTGGAAGAAGTCTCAAGTTCGTATCTCTCCTCTCCATTGCTAAAAATAATAATATTAAATGTTACCATATGGTCTAAGTTGTGCTTTGAAACTATAACTTAACGGTTGATTTGGTTTATCATTTTAGCACCACGACACGATAAAATTTCGTAGGTTAGATTTTTCTGTACGACATTCATCTTTAACAAAAGAGACGAGCTGGTCCTACTAAGTAGGTCTTCAAACCAGGAGGAGAAGGGCTTAAATTTCAGATTGGGTCCATGACATGAGAATGTCACTACAGGCCCAAAGTTGAGCTCTCTTTGGGCCCCATAATAGAGTTTGGGTCCTACCTTATATAAATGATGAGTTATTTCTGAAATTTCAGGGGTCTTTATGGCTTTTTGGTGTGCTTGACTATTCTCCCCTCGCCAGAAAATTTTTTGGAGATGCCAAAATATGCACATCTGTTAGTGCCAACTATGTGTTCGATTAAATGTCTTTAAGAGACTTTGCCCACCATAAATCTAAGGGAATTTTATCGTTTAAATTCTAAGGGTATTTAGTTGTATAATTTTATTTTATTTTTGAACTTTTAACTTTTTAAATATTTTCTATTTCCTAAAAAATTTCTGACTCCGCCTGCACCGAGTCCATAGCAGCTGCCAAATAAAAAAAGAAGGCTAGTACCTTCCATATAGCTGCACAGCAGCATGTGAAATTATGTGTGAATAGGACCTACCCAAACTGAAAAGCACCAGCAACCAAATCGCCCACTTGCCCTGTGTGGCCTCATTCAGTACTCAGGGGACCCCACTGAACTGGTAGCAGATTCATACTTTCACATGTATATGCTGCAACGGCCCTCACTGCAGAAGTTTCTCATATGGGCCATCTCCAACTTCCCTAGATAGAATGCCTATATGATGCCCCAGTTGCCCATGCCCCCATGTCCCTAACACAATTGGCAGTTTATGGCATGTATAGATACTTGGACCTTATAAAATTATAACCCTAGGTTTCTGTGCCCCACTAGACCAAACTAAGCCTGCAAATGAAGCATATATAGCACTGTGATCCATCCTAGGGACTGTTTCAGAACCCACATGAGGCTCCACTTCAAACCATGACAGCTATGGACTTTTGGTACCTTGCCCTTTTTTGTTGGCAAAACTTGCCTCCTCCCAAAGAAATAAGAAATCTATTGATTATAGTTTGACATGGATTTTTTTTGGTGGTGAAATAAGGGGAAAATCTCCATAAAACAACTAAACATCATGCATGAGTCGAGACCTAGAAAGACCAAGGAAGTCATCCACTAACAGAGAACTAACCCAGACAGGAGTCTAATCAAAAAAACAAATTTCTAGTCTTGATTTTAACTCCAGTTTGCCAAATAATCTGCAACACAATTCTTTTCCCTGTAAATGTGGATAATGTGACAATTTTCAATTTGTCTCCTGAGATCACAACAACTATGTACCAAAGCAATAAGAGGATTACATTGCAATGAATTGATTTATTGAACAAGTGAGACAACAACAACAACATCCATATCAATAACAAGGTTAGTGATACATTTCTCAACAGTAAGCTTTAGACCAAAATATAGGCCCCAAACCTTAGCCTCCAAGATATGACCTTGGGCCAAATTCACAACAAAACAATTTGACATGTTTGTAAAAAGATAATTTGTGGGTTTTATATAAATTATTTTGGTATGTGTGGGAAACTGTCATTTTTAAGAGCGAAGCAGTGTCATCTTTTTATTTTAAGAGCTCATTCCTAGGTCAATTCACAACTGAAAACTACATTAACGGCCATTGTTAAATATTCTGGGAATCTAGATGATAGAAACGTCCATAAGTACACTTCTCATCTATCTTGATAATACCATCGTTGTTTCAAGACTGATTTTCCCAAGAATGTTGTCCTTGATAGAATAAATACTCCAATACTTCTTTGCTGCGAATTTGAACCACTCAAAAGCTGGTGGTGGCAAATGACCGCTACGTAATGTTAGCCGCCCACCAATAAAACCTAGCTCTTAAGATTCTACACGGAATTATTTGTTTGCTCATTTCGAATTAGATTTCAATCAATTAACTATGTTAGATTATTATCTAATTTAATAAGTTTGATCCTACAATTTATAAGTTCACCAAATAATTGCCGGAACGTTAGTCTAATTTACTTGAAATAGTCTAATAACTTGTATTAAATACAAGTATTGAAATACATTCTTGATCCCTATGTTTTATTCGGATTTTCAATTTTGTATTTCCAAATTTGGCCAATTTATTCCACGAGCTTTAATCTATTTAACAATTCGGGTCATTTTTGCATGATTTTGTGCTCTCACAGATCGAGCAAATTAACGTCAAATGAGACCAAAATCGTTAACATGACAAAGCACAAGACCTATGGCATTTAACCCTAAATACGAGGTCGACATAATTGGAAGTGTTAGGAAATTTAGACATCATGTTTGTTAGATTGCAGCTGGTTGATAGTTACATATGTATATGTAGGTGGCATTGTGCATTCTAAATCTGAACAAAGGGACTTCCGAGATACATCCAGTCCAAAACCCTCTGGAAAGTTTGCGACTTATGGCAACCGTGTATCCACAGCTGGTCCACCAAACACCAGCTAACTAATTTGACCCATTCTCCAATCAAAAGAAAAACTAAACAAGCATACTGACCGACTCTTCCCGACCTTTACGACTAAGCGACCCATTCTTGGAGCTGTTTTGACTTTGTCATTGTATCTAGACACTCTTTAAGTCCAACCTCGTGTTTCACTAATGTACTATGCCCTTGCTGTTCTTTTTCGAGAGGGGAATCTAAACACGGAATCTCGGATGCAATGATTTTTGCTCTTAACCATCTGAGCCACAAGATACTTACAAATATTGTTAATTCCCAATTGAATACACTTATACTAAGCCACTGTATTGTAGTAATATGGTTAGACAGGCTGATTTCTAGGCATTAAAAATGTCTTGATTCACCTTTACCACTAATATTATGGTTGCACAGCCCGAGTTCCAGGCATGAGAAATGGTATGATTTTGCTACGATCAGTCGCGCCCATGCGACCAGGGAAGCTTTCCTTCATATACTAAGTATTGCTTCAAAGTTTTCCTCTCTCCTTTGTCCGACCCCATGATATTATGGAACCCCTGTAGAACCCTCATGTTTGATGTTGGCGACTACAAAGAACTAAAAGCAGCAACCTGGTTTAGTCTGACTAAATTAAATTCGGAGTAGTTTTCTAAACTGGAAGTGAGGGTAAAAGCAAAAGCTATAACAGTTCAGAGTAATGTTTATGGCATCCTCGCGGATGGTTTTCTTAGCTCGATATTCAAATTTGCCGAACAAAACCATAAATCAGCTCTCATTTACCCATGTGGGTTCATTGTAAATGTTCAACAGTGCTCCAAGTCTAAAGTCATCTCTGTTCTAAAAAAGCAAAGAATGGGGAAAAAAATAATCCAATCTATGCGATGATCTGACACAATCATATATGAAACTTCATCACCACTTTTTCTTTATGATTAAAATTGCGAAAGATTTGAAAATACGAATAAAGAAATCAAAGAAGTCGGTCGCTATCTGGGTTGAAAT